GCATCAGTGTGATTTAAAAAACTAGAAAATAAAAAGTAAAATTAAACAAAAAGACTTATGTTATTATATACTGTATTCAAGATTATTCCCAATAAACTACCATTTAAGTAAATATTGGCTCTCAATGCTTGACCTTGCTGTAAACCACCCCTTGTATACTCTGCCATAATATATGACAAAATCATCACAAATAACGCAAAATGCAACGCAAACAGTGAGACTTTGAGAGCCAATATTTATGGGGTAGGTTTGAACATTTTGAATGCTAAAGAGTTAAGCAACACAAGTACTGGTTAGAATCCTAAATTTCTTATTAAAAAAAAAAACTATTGTGATATTTCTCTAGCCCATGAACAATTTACCTTATTCTGAATGGTCATGTACTGCATTGTGTTACCCTGGTCTCAGCTCCCATTTTGTTCCAAACCAAACATTGGTCTATACACTGATTCACTGCATTAAAATTAGACAATTTTTTTTCTATTTCTTTTTTTAAATTGAGTTCTTTCTTTAAATGGTACCCTTCTTCTAGACTGCCTATAAAGCATAAGGCTGTAACAACATCATGTCAGATAATGCTATAGTAGCAAGTAGGCTTTACAACCAAAACAACTAACTGGTTGAAATTCAGTGTTGTCTTCCTCCTAGACTGGTTGCCAGCCAAGGCAATAGAGCCCAGTCTGCCTTGCTATTTTAAACATAGCTGGGAAGAGAAGAGATGGATTCATACCTTTTCCAAGAGCATTAACATGAACTCAAAATCTTTGCCTATCTCTATTGTACCATCATAGATAATTTTACTTACTATTGTAGTGAGGAAAATCAATACTTTACCCAACTGCTTTATTAAATTTATCGACTAGCAGTTATCAGCAGAGAAAGATGAATCAGTGAACTATCCTGTTGCATTCACTTTCAAACATAAAATAGCAGAGTAGACTGTGCTCTCTAGCCTTGACTGGCAACTAGTATAAGAGAAGGAAAACTCTGAATTCAAAAAACTGTAGAGAAGGCAACAAAACACCACTTCACTATCTTTCCCAATAAGGTTTGGCAATTCCCTAATAATAAAGAAAAGGAACGTGTGGAGGACCATGATCGTTCATGCCCTGAAGGGACATGGCATTTAACATAAAAAAAGATAAACTTTCACCCATGGTTTAAAAACTTTTTGTTTTATGTCTGTTTTCTTGGACTTTTAAGAATTCTTGCCTGAATTTAGTTACATGGATAGGAAATGGAGACATGATGACTAAATATAGTTTCCTTTGGACTAGTTTTTTTTCATTTGTTTGTTTTTCAACAACACAACAATTCTGCACCTTCTGACCTTTCTTGTGTATCTGTTATGATCCAGAATGTTGCCAAATTCTATTTTGGGGGTTGCACGTTCCCCTCCCCATGCACATTACACATCCGCCTTTGCATCTCTGTATTCCTATGGCAGTCCCTCCCGACATCTATACTGACCCTATAGCCACTCTTTGAACTTTGTATATGATATCATGTCTGTGGAAATCCATGTTCTGTGACTGCTGCCTCCTGATTAATGGTATCCACACATTACTAATGTCAATACTTAGTTTGGACAGAGACAAGCAATGATTTGTCTTTTTTATGACTTATCAACCCTTTACAGGTTATTTAAAGCCAGAAAATAGTTTTACATTGTAAAATATTTGGGGACATAATGATGATTTACTGTGCTACTAATCAATCCATAGCTTGGAGGCAAGGGGAAGAGGTGGATTAATACCTACTCAGAATTTGATCAACAAATAAAAAATTATAATGTGCATATAAAGTGGGGGATCAATTCTATATTACAATCAATATATAAACTGATCACTTACTTTGTGACAACAGTAATTTCAATATATAAATTCCAGAGAATGCAAATAAATCTAAAAGACATGCGAATGTAGCTAATAAGTATTTGATTGATTCATTTTCTACGGCTTATCAACCATCTGAAGGCTATTTAAAGCCAGGAAATATGTTTAGATCGTAAGAGTTTTTTTTAGATAATAACAGTTTAGTGATACAGGGCTTATTAATTAACCCATAGCTGGAGGGCAGGGAGAAGTGGTGGATTCATACCAAGTCAGAATTTGATAAACAAATAAGAAATTGTAATGTGAATATAAAGTGGGGGATCAATTCTATATTACAATTAATATATAAACTGATCTCTCATTTTATGGCCACAGTAGTTCCTATACATTTATATTCCAGAGTGAGGTAAGTCAATGCTTTACCCAACTGTTTTATTAAATTTATCAACTAGCAGTTCAGACTGTTCATCACGCTAGATAACATGCACTCTCCCAGAAACTGTAACTAAGGTCTGCTCAGCATAGTTGCAGTATAAACCATAGGTGGGCTCTGTGGGTGTTGAACAAACACAAATGTGCCTGAGCGAGCATCTGCAATAGGGATTGGCTAGCAGCCCTAGTAGACGGGTATCCTCGAATACGAGTCGCCAGCTATTATATTCCAGAGAATATAAATAAATCTAAAAGACATGCCTATGGAGCTAATCAGTATTTGATTAATTGATCACTTCACTTTTTGACAGCTTATCAACCCTTTGCAGGTTATTTAAAACCAGAAAATAATTTTAGATTGTAAGAATTTTTGGGAGATAATGATTAACTGATGCTTGTCTTAACTGTTTAATCTATAGCTTGGGGCTGAGAAAGAAAATGAGAAAATTTAATGCATTTTTTTTGTAAAAATTAAACTGGACAAAACTTTGAACAAAACATTTAAAAAATATTTAAATTTCTTTCAGAAAATGTTTTTTGTCATTTTTTTTGTTGATAATTTAAGTATTCAGTTATCTAGAATTTTGAATAATCTGAACATATTTTTTCCATCATCATCCCAAGGTGTCAAGATAACTGAGAAGTGATTGATTGAGTGATTTGATTTTTTTATAGCCTATCAACCTTTTGCAGGTTATTTAAAGCCAGAAAATATTTTTAGATTGTAAGTATTTCTTTGTAGATAGTAATGATTTATTGATACAAGTAATTAACCCATAACTGGGGAGATTAGAGGTGCGTAAGTGAATATAACTAACCCAGCTGGTATTGGACTCAACTCTCAGATTTCCAATTTCAAGCTGTTATTTATTAAACCACCCACACATCCAAGTTTATGAGACAAGCAAGGGCTAAAAAGAACACTTGAAGGAATTTGCTCACGCATTCAGCTAGGCTAACCCAATAAACAAATCAAGTATCGATATGTGCGGACCATATTAACCAGAAGAAGGCAAGCAATTGAATTACCCGAGAAATGGCTTGACTGAATGTATTAATTCACATTTCCACTTCATCGTAAAAACAAAATTAAAGGGAGATAACTTTTATATCTAGACTGCTTTTTTTTTTTTTTTACAAAAAAAAAGTATGTATCATTTAAATATTACACCTGTTAATTCGATTATTGCTTATTAATAATACTTTTTCAAACATAAATCTATCACCAAAATCTTCACGTAATAATGATGCTTAATATTCTGATGTTATTTTAGGAATATTTGAAAAAAAATGGGTAAAAAATAACAAGAAACAAACCCATTTAAATATTTGACTGATCCAAAATATGTGTAAATAAATTAAATATTTCTGCATTAATTCATTTACTTATTTTAATATTTATATTTTAATCACATTTTTATTTATATTTTATTTTCATAGCCCAACAAAAAAGAAAATTAATTTCCTGGCTTTAACAGACTTCAACATTAAATAATCCTCTTAAACAAGCAGACTTGTTGTCAATTAGTTGTTATTGTAAATAAGCAGCAGTCAAATTGATGGATTCAGATATAAACGTTTAATTTTCTATGTTTTGGTGGAGTGAAAGACAGTGATTTGATCTTTTGCTTTCATTGAAGCCAGTTTTCAGACAAATGCTATTCACTGTTCCAGACAGGAGCCCAGGGTAGTCTGAAAGAGCAGAAAGTCAGGTTTGGGGTTGAGAACAGCCCCAAGAATACATGGACGCAAAAACTGGACACAATGTGCATGCGGGAAGAAAGATGTACTTGTGATGCAGAATAAGATGCAAAGATATTGTTGATCACAAGAAACACCCGAGGAAGACTTTAGGGTACACAGCTAAGACATTATGAAAAAATAAAATAAAATAAGAAACAGCAAAGAAAAGAAATTAGTTTAAAGACTTGTTACAGATTATATAGGCTGGCCTAGAATGGCAAACTACTTGTTATAACTCTGATGGCCCGAAGTGAGCTTGAACCCTGTGTGTGTGGAATTCTGATAGTGATTGATTGCCTTTGCTCATGTTTTGCTCTAAAACCAAAAACATGTGAAGACAACTGCAAGAATCAGAAGGGTCACACCCAGATTCTTTAGTGACGCAAACCAGCACATGGCAATCAGATTTTGGCCACCCAGTTGACAAGCATATTCTTGGCTGTCTCCCTCTCATTTTCTCGTAGAAACGACGCTGATGTCCCTCATTAAATAAAGCTAAAAAAACAGAAAATTGTATGTCATTGTTGTAATCTATATTGTAGCATTGGTGTCAGAAGAATTTTTGTTTTTAATCAATTCACCCCAAGCAAGGAGATACTGAGAGTGAAAGAGAATGAGACGACTTTAGAAGAAATCGGAAACCCAATCCTAAGCAGGAAACATGGGATAAACCTCTGCTCCTGTTCAAAAGACTGGGGAGGAGTGTGAACCAGGCAATAGGCAAACCTATCTACTCCTATTGACTGAAACCAGAGACAGCACAAAATGCAACCAAACACTATATACGATGACCTTAAGAATGTTTTGTTTAAAATGATGCAGTCAAAAGCTAATGGAAACCAAAAACAAAAAAAATCCTGGAAATACGAGATTCAGAAAAAAACTGTTGAGAGCACAAAACAACTCATGAGAAATGGTCTGCTTTTTAGGTGGGAAAGGATTTCAGTCTTGTTTTTTTTTTTGGTCAATATATGATAACACTCATTTACTTCAAGAGTTTATTTGCCAGCGCCGTGTTAGATTCTCAGGGAGATCTTGTGTGTCATTTTTATCATCCGGGATGAGAAGCATACCTGGGAACGCATTTTGTGCACCAACCATACCCACCGAAGTGCTCCATCTTGGAGACGAAGGGACAGGCGACTGCATAGATGTCGGCAGGCCGCGAGCTGAACAACTGGTGTATCCATTTTGCCAGTTAGGGGGCATTGGAATTGTGGGTAAGGGAGGGAGGTGTGATGCTGGGGGCATTTGATGCTGTGGGTGGGGATGTGGTGGTTGCAAGTAGGGAGACGAGTTCGACAATGATGGGAGGGAGGATGATGACATGGATGAGGAGACGGGTGCTGCCGTGGTCATGGACATCATCCAGGTGGTCGGAATCTTCAGCACTTGGGGACGCACGGTTGAGGGTAGGGCAGCAGAAGACGACAGGGAGGATATAGATGATGCCACGGATGCAGGAAGGGATACTGAGATGGCTGACGATGAGGATGGTGATGATGACGGAACAAGTCCGGGTGGGGGGTGCTGTGGCTGCAACTGTTGAGGGTTTGGTGCATGGTGCGGGATGAAAACCTGCCGAAGTTCCTCAAGAGTGTGCGTGCGCTCGTGGTTGTTCAGGTTCGTGACCTGTGCGAAGGACTTGTGGCAAACGGCACACCGGTGGGGCTTCTCCCCTGTGTGTGTCCGAATGTGATTGCGCAGATTGTTTTTCTGCGAAAAGCACTTGTCACAGGTCTCGCACCTGTACGGCTTCACCCCCGAATGGGTGCGCATGTGAATCTTCATGTTGCCTTGTTGGGAGAACGCCTTCGGACAGAGAGCACATTTAAAGGGTCGTTCACCTGTGAAGAAAGAATAAAGATATACCTGAATCTTATGATTATACATGTAGAAAAAAAAAATTAACATTCAAAAAGTATACTACTTACGATAGGAACATTGCTTCATCGATTATCTGCTTACCTGTATTTTCTAGATTCTCCATTTCCATTGAATAACGATGGTAACATTTTCTGACTGACGAAACAGATTGTTCAGTATTTCTTCTTTTCAACGCAAATCTTGCGATTTACACTATTTACATTCAGACCAATGTCCTCATCATTCAGTTTCATCTTTGTGGTTTTTATCACCTGATTGCCTTCTGTCTAAATTTCTGGGATGAGGATTTATCATTATTCACAATAATTACATTCGGACTATTGTCCACATCTTTGTTGTTGTTATCACGTTTCGACTGTTGTACCCTACAGCCTTCATCAAGAGTACAGTGGATTAAAGTAGTTGTTTGTGGGTTTGGTGACTTAGTAATTACTATAATGGAGGCACAGTTGAGTAATGATAGCAGTTCAGATTGAGGAATCAGAGAGTCAAGTTCAAATTCCATTTGAGTTCATTAGGAGTTATCATTCTTAATTATCATTATTTACACTATTATCCTTGTCTTTGTTACTGTTATCACTACATTTCAGCTGTTGTGCCTTCCAGCCTACATCAGTTGTATGTCGATCTAGATAACCTACAGGTAATTCTGAACTGAATCCTTTATTTAATCTACAGGGATAGACTGTTCTTGTTCCCCTGATCATGGATAAAGATATCTTGTTGTTGTAACCTAGAAAAGGTTATTGAATGAGGAATAACCAAAATGGAGGTTGGAAATGAAATGATAATCTTTATAACATCAACAAAATACAATACTCGCCAGCAGCAGGAAGTAGGTAAACCACTGCTAGTGGTGGACTACTTAGCATATTACCCCAGCTCACAATAGTGTCCAACATATTTATGAGGATTGGGACATACCCATCAGTGTTCATATGTACGGTAAATAACACTCATCTAGTTCTTATTTTTAGTACTGCTCAGTTGTGGAGGCATGGTAGATTAATTGACAGCGGCTCAGATTGAGGAATCGGAGAGCCAAGTTCAAATTCCAGTCAAATCTATCACATTCACTTACATGCTAATAACCTTGGGAAAGATATGAATCCTCTTCTTCTCCCCCAGCTATGGGTAAATAGCAGGACAGACCAGGTTCTATAGCCTTGGATGGCAACTGGTCTACTGCAGAAAGAAATGGTAACTTACTGTGGGGAAATATCTGCCTTGTCAGTCATGTATCAAAAGATACATGATCGCCTATGCGTGTATCACGTATGGCACATAACTGACTGATATTCACTTACATGCTAATACCCTTGTGAAAGGTATGAATCCTCTTTTTCTTCCCCTAGCTATGAGTAAATAGCAGGGTAGACCGTGTTCTATAGCCTTTGATGGCAACCTACTGCGGGAAAAAGTCTGCCTCGTCAGTAATGTATCGAAAGATACATGATCGCCTAAGCGTGTATTACGCATGGCTCATAACTGACTGATATTCATGCTTTTTAGTATCACATTGAAAATATTATCTGTTACAGAAATGTCATACTTTTTATCTTCACATCGTTACAAATCTCCGTTACGGACTAGTATTCTTCCTTTATGTGCCATGTCCCTTCAGGACGTAGGCGGTCATAGCTCTCCACTGAGTCCAAGTACACACTACCCAGTCTAGTTATCAGCTGAATTTTGATCTGAAATTCCCATTGCATAATGCTCGATTTACATAATTAATATTCTGAATTAAGATTATTGATGGGGAAGGAGATTATGCTGAAAAATAAATAATTTATTGTAAAAAGTCTTCGGTATTGACATCAAGTTTCATTGCGTGTTTTGGGTTTTATACGTCGTATTCATTCCACCACTAACCTGATCTGCTTCAGAAGATAACACCTTAATCGCAACACCGTGCACATCATCAATCAAAAGACATGCTTAATATAGCAATTAAATTGAAAATTTATGCAACCCTGCACCAGCCAATCAAGACACTACATATAGAGTTATTCTTATCATTATTATCAGTCCCATGCTTGTGCATGGTTATAAGGTCACTATGCAGCTGAGCACCTCACCAATCCGCATCCCTTACACTGTGAAGGAGAGAAAGTCTGGGAAACACACACACACATATTTTTTTTTTTAGTGAAATTGGAGTAGATTTGTATAGCGAAATTAAATCTGAGCATTTTGTTTACTGATGGGGAAATCTGATCTAGGGCAGAAGTTGTACCCATTGAATCAGGTTCATCAGTAGACAATGAAAATGGTTGAAATTATTTTTATCGATTAAAAATTGAAATAGAGCTGAGTAAGACAGAAGGAACTTTGGAATTCACAGGATTTTGGTTGAAGCAGTCAGAACCCCGTGATAATTGTGTGCAAAGTAGTAGGGTCAGTTATAACCAGCCTGGTTTATCTATATAAACATGTAGTTATAATGAAAAAGGCAGACGGGAGAAAATTCTCGAAGAGAGAAGAGAGAATTGGCCTGGGTGAGCGTTGGGAGGAGGAACACCACTATAACTTTAAGCCCCACACACAAATCTTTATCCGTCCATCGCAAGAGTCATATATCATTCTGAGATGATTTAACAACACGATAATCACATACACTCTCTCTCTCTGTCTAGAATCCAGTGTATGAGTTTTTTTTTACTTTTCTTTTCTGTAACCCATTTCTCTTCTCTACTATTCTTTTCTGCTATATAAAAGACATTAACAATTCAACCATTGAATCGATGTTTGTCCGGCTTTCTGCAGATATTAATTTTTTTTTTTTTTGCTGCATTCTAAATTTCTTAGCGCAGATTCCCCAGCCATGCCTACATCTTCAGTCGACCGTGAATGAACGGACATCACTTCTGCTTTCTGGATCAAACAAATCACAATGTGGGCAGGAAGCAGGATTAAACCAGCGGACCGGTTGAATAATCTATGGATGCTCAGGGAACCTATGGCCACTCCCTTAAGTTTGGTTAGGACCGAGTAGACACCTCAACCGCCGAGAGTAAGATGCCGGAAGTTGAGGGGCCGGGGCAAAAGTGTTAGAACATATATCTGGGTTGAAAGCTGGAGAGGTATTCATTCATTTTTAGTGTGTTTGTGACAAACAGACCTGACAGGGCTTCATCCATCTCCAGGTCGAACCACAGGTAATTTCCTCCAACTTAAAGGCTTGGCTTGGCTTGGTCACAGACACATGGCCGTTGATTCCATCAGGGGAAAACCTCTTCTCTGGCCATTGACTTCAGTCTATCAAGCCCTCTGCCGATTGATTCTGTGTCATCACCGCACTGGCTACATCCGTAGCTATGGAGCACTGTCTACTCCAATGTGCTAGATGGCCATCGAACCAACAAGAAATTTTATTGTCCCTTTGACAGTTCTAGTTTTTAACCCAGCTGGGTGTCTATTCACTCTCCTCATTAAAAAAATCCTGGTGAGGGAACAGGCTTAGCTGCTAATGACCCAAACATGTGGCAGATAGTACTGAGTTACACGGCACCAGTATGCCATATACAGAGGAGGCAAACCATCCACATTTCATTCATATTCCACTGGTAAGAAAGAAGTTTCATTTTGTATAGTTTCTTCCCAAGAGCAGTTGCTTTGTGGAACAGACTCTCATGAAAATGCTTCGCCAATTAATATAATCTCAACCTCTTCAAGTCTAGGCTCAACCACTATCTATCTACATATGTTCATAATCTACAATGCTTATGTCCATAAAACTTCATACATTAAGCCTCTACCTTGAGTGGCTCTTGGGTCTTGTATTGAATAATAGTGTAAAGAAGAAAAGCACTCATTACCTGACTTGACATATAAGGCATATGCTTGCTAAACTCAATTTGACCGCCAAATCTAGCATCAGTACTGACACCCGACAGTAAGTTACTTGGTTAACCTTGATGTTTTGCCTTGTTGGGGGGAAAGATAAAAAATGGGGTGGGAGAATGCACATAAAATTGTCATTTTGTATAATAAATAGAAATAATTATTAATAAGTAAAAAAAAAAAAAAAAAAAAAAAGAAGTCAAATTAGGAAATTGTAGAAAAATGTAAAAACATTTGAAAGATTTTAGAAAAACTAGCAGAAACCAAAAATGAAAATATATATCAGGATTTAAGCTTAAAATACTCAGAGATTATGAAGATATTATTTAACAATAAAATCATTTATGCTGCTTTTTTTGACAGTACTAATATATAAACTATTAATTGACAAAAAATGAACAAGAATTGAAAATGCAAAGTTGACAAATATAACTTTAGTTAAGCAAAAACAGAAAGTAAAACTAAGACATACAATCTTTAGGCCACTTGTACTAAAACAAATAAATACTAAAAAAATGGTAACTGTAGAAAAACTGAAAGAATTAATAATAATCAATACATATGTAACTTCAAATAAATATAATAATAAATGAAATAAAATAAATAATAACTGCAAATTATATTAAATTATTATATATATTATATTATTATAATACTTTAAAAAACAAATATTTACATTTTTAAATTAAAATTCAGATCCATTAATTTTTTTTTTAAGCTTCAACAAAAGATGTCATTTTTTTTTAATGCCTTTTATTATGACTAAAACAGCATCAAATTTACAGTTTTAAATTGAATTTCATTCAGTTTATGATGAATTTTTAAATTAATTATCTGAATTAGTAATAATATTGTGCATCTTGGGTAAGACAATAAACTATGTCCAACAGCAAGACCTGTGATCAGGAGGTTTTGAGGAGCATGGAACCACCTCTTAATTGCTGCTGTTCCCAGGTTCACCTTGACCCAGAGTGGTAGCACCTGTTTGGGTCCCAGCTATGAGCAAATAATTAACCCTGAAATTGAGGTAAAAACACTATGAAAGTGTAAAAACAAGTTTTAATACCAGAAATACATTGTAAAAAAATTGTTTCTAGCAATAAATTTTTGAAGA